TAAAAACAAAGAGAAAAGACTTATTTTATTTCCATAGTAAAAGTTCAATTTTTTTTGAATGGGATATTAAATTCTAACACAGTCCACTGTTTTTTCAGTATAGCCGAATTGGAGATTGAAAAAAAATTTTTTGAAAATAAAAAAAAAAAAACCAAAAAAAATATAAAAAACGAAAGGTTGCGGAAAATCATAAAATCATTTGGAAATTAAAAAACAAATTTTTTTTACCTATGGGCCAAACATGTAGAAAACTGTTGTTTTTAAATAATTTTACAAGGAATTTTTTTGTTTTTTCATTGTTTAACAAAAATAGCCTTCCATTATTGTAGTTTATTCAAGTATATAAACTGTCAACACCAAAAACATCCTACTTAAAATATATAGGATGGTTAACGAATGCGTATGAATTTGTTGAAGACGGAAAAAAATATCTGCGATAAGTGTGTAAATTGATTTTGTGCATTTGGCAATATCACCACACTATACAACACAAATCTTTCTCAGTGAACTGTTTGACAGTGAATATTGCCTCAAGCTACTGCAATTCAAATATCCAAATTTTAGCGGGCTTTATGAGTTAGTGAGTTCTGATTATTAACAACCAAATATATATTTCGCCTATCACTTTTCATCAATTTTCTTATTTTTTTTTCTTCTTCTTTCACTGAAAACAATAAAACGAACAAAAGAACGGGACGAACTGACGGACGGACAGAGGAGGGCAACCAATCAGCGAAGTGCGGCGGCCACAAAATTGGCTGTTGTTGCTGTTTGTGTGTTGGAGTATCGGCATTGAAGTTTGCTCAACTGCCAAAACACTTGATGTTACCAGGTGAATGAGTGTGTGTGTGTGTGTTGTGTGTGTTTTTGCGTGTCAGTTTTTATATCTATATGTTTTTTGTAGAAAAAAGAAAATGAAGGAATCCGATTTACATTATCCAGTCTGATGATTTTCATATTTTTCTTTACACAGAAACTGTTTAGTGGCTTTTTTTTTTTTGCAACTTGGATATATCGAATAAATGCGTACATTTATTGTTTATTTTATTTTATTATTATTATTATAATTGCTTTTTTTTTCATAACATAATTAGCAACTTCCAAATAACTTTGCTATTTTTTATTTTTTATTTTTTCCACTCTTTTCTTTCATTCTTTTAATCATTTTTCACTACTTTCTTGGATTCTAACACTCTTGTTTTTGTTTCATCTCCCATTGTTCGTTGTCCGGTAAACAACCAACAGTTCATTTTGCCAAAAAATATTGTCCTCTTTCTTGTTCTGTAAATTGATTCAGTTATCTCTACTGTTTCAAACAAGGGAAAATTGGCAATGAAATTGTTGCAAAAAAAATATATATATAAGTTTTTTCTTTACTCATTTCTATTAACTGAACAAAAAAATTTGTTTAAATTAATTGATGCTTTTTTTTTTTTTGTGAGATGATTTGTTGTGTAATGTACGTGGGAAAACTGTTGAAATTAAGCAATTTATAAAAGAGGTTTTTAGGGAGATTTAGATCAGTAATGTTTTCTTGAACAGCTGTTCATTTCAACTTTTTTTTTTTTTTTTT